TGGATTTAGAGGTTCGGGACGAGCCGGACCCCACTCCACCATCCTCCTTGGATTTCTTCCGCCGTGTTTTTTTGGGTATGTCCGGGAGGTCCCTTGCTGGAGAATCAGAGCCACCACCTCCTGACCCAGGGCGGCTGTGTCGGCTTGACCTTGAACCATCGGACGACTCTTTGGTGTGTCGCCTGGAGCTCCTGGATTTGGACTCTTTCTTTGGAGAAGAAGTACTCCCACTCCCAGTTTCTGATGAAGAATGGCGCCTAGATGTCTTTGACACTTCTGGTTGGTCATCTGGTAATGAAGAATTTGCATTTTTGTACTTTTGGTTTGCATCTGCAGTTCAATTTCAATTGTACACAAATGAAAACAAGGGCATCCTCTCATGCAAAGTTCTATTCAGTAAAATAATTCAAAGGTTCTTGGTTGATAGAGATGTGTCTATTGTGATGTGAAAATTATAAGCAGAGGTAGACAACAGAATTTGATATCTATCTATCTATCTATATATATGTCGAGTTAGAAACAGGGGTGTGGATCATTAATCTGATCAGGTACGTTAACTATATATATGGAAAGTGAAGAGAAGAATGGAAAGTGTGACAGAAAACTTACCTTCAGAAACATATTTGATATCGGGATGATCATTAGGATCTAATGGAGGACCCAAAGGGGCTGTATGAAATTTTCCTGGTTCTTTGAATTCTTTCATCTGCACAACATATTAGTTGATGATGATGATCCAACAAACATGTGAAACATTAACATAAAACTATGAAAATATAGTTTAATTACCCAGCTGGGAGATTCAACGGATGGTCCATCCCATCCTATATGGGCAACATGCTTTACATCTGTAGGTAAACCAATCTGCATTTCTGCTTCTTTTTCCCCTTCTGCAATATCATGTTCATTTTTGTTAATCAATCAATTAATTACCTTGAAGAACCCAATAATTTCAACAAAGAGAAAACTGATAGTAATAAAAAGTAAGGAAATTAAATGAAGGATAATTGCTCACCAAATATCTGAGAAATACCTAAGGCCTTTAAGAGGCCTTTCACCTTTGTGGCCATCCTCAGCTGCTAATACTGTCTACAACTTTTTCTTCTTCTAAATGCCACTAAAGAAGATGTCTCTTTCACTCAAAAATCATGCATTTGTTTCTTGAATCTGGAAAAAATAAAGGTGAAGATAAGAATATTATGACTCAAAACTCATATTATGACATTCACAAAATAAGAAGAAAAAGTAGTGAAGATACAATTAGAAATTAACCTTCTTCAGTAGGATGGAAGAAAGTGAATGAAATATATAAGAATTCAGCAAAATGGGGTAGCTCAAAATGACCAAATAGCGGATTGGGAAAAAGAAACCCAAAAATTCAGATATAAATCAAGAAATGGACTCAAACCCTCAAAAAAGAATTTTAGGTTCGACTCCTCTCTAATTATCATAAAGCAAAATGATGTTAAAGCAATCCTTTCATCCATTCAATGGCAATGAATTGCAAGCCATTGCTAACCAGAAGCCTATCGTAAATTTAGGAACGGAAATTAAGTTTCTTAGTTTCTAACTTTTCATTTTATTAATTTAACGAGAGTTTTATAATTTTTGCCTTCTGAATCTCTATGGTTTTATTTATTTATCTTCAATCTCTATGGTTTTATTGACTTGCCAATCTTTGGAAACCTAAGATAAAAGCCACTAAAATCGAATGGTCGCACAATATTCTTGTTAATGAATGTCAATCCTCCTCGCTCTCAAGGGAATGGCTCAATTACCAAGATGTTGCAATTCAAACTTTTTTCTTTCTCTATCCCATTGTAATAAGTACAGTAGTTTCTTTTTAACGTAAAAAAAAAAAAAAAAAATCTACTTCAAATAAAGATATAAGATTGGTGAAATTTTCCTCTTAGCCATTTTAAATACTACGTAGTATTTTATCCAGCTTCCTACTTAATATTTCTAAGTTCTAGTCCTATTAGCTAATTAGGGAAGGCGGTAGCTTTTGGAAAAGAAATTTTTACATTCCTATTCACTAATTGAAACTTTATTACTTCATACTCAAATTTTAATTTAATTACACCCTATATACAAATTTACCATTTATATACACTTTAAAAATTATATGAGTATCCCTTTATATTAGTAATCAATTATTTCTCATCCTTATTCTCTCTCCCTTCTATATACAAATTTACCAATTATTTTAATTTACTTCTCCAAAAAGGGACCCGCGTTGAAACTTCTAGGTTGTTGCCTTGATGGAACTGGTTTGATTCGTCCTTTCTTCATTCTATTGTTTTTCCTTGTAGCATAGTGAGTCCTCTTTGTACTCTACCCTATAATATTTTAGACTCTAAAACAATACACAAGCACAACGAAGAGCAAAGGAGAAGAGAGCAGCAATTCCATGCTTATTGAAATTCCAGTAACGTAGAGCTGAAGGTGTTGCACAATTAGTGTTAAAATTCCAGTAATATTGCACAATTGGTGTTCAAATTGAAATTGTCAATCAATAAATTTTGAAAGGTGTTTGACTCTCCACCATTAACAGCCATTAAAAAGCTTTGAAGCTTTGAATTCGAATTAGGGTTTTCAAAAACCATTATTTGTTTGGACTGGGTGTTGTTGCAAACAATTGAGAATATTGTTTGGAGTTTATATCTCAATTTTGAGGGTGTTTTGGTGAAGATTAGACTTGATTTTGGCTGAATTTCAAATTGAAACTCGAAGAAGAAGAAGAAGAAGAAGAAGAAGAAGAAGAAGACATGACATACATTATACTTACGAATTTGTAGTAAAGTTGTAGTAAAATTATAGAAAAATTGTATTCAGTTGTTAATTTTTTATTTATTTAAATATTGTATGAAAGTTGTACAATATTGTATAAAAATTATATTTAAGTTGTATGATATTGTAGTTATATATAATTGAGTAGAAATAATGTATGAAAGTTGTAGATAAGTTGTATAATATATAATTAGTTGTATGAAATTTGTTTTTATTATGTATAAATCAGATACAAATATACAAAAGACATATTTGTATACGGTCGAAATAGGTTTCGGCCTTAGCACGTCCGATCGAGTTCAAACGATGATTTATCAAAGTAAGATCCCGAAGGTGGAGCAAACTATCCTCGAACCAGGGGAGGCCGATCTGTGTCAAGTTCGATATCATTACCAAACTCGAATCAAAATCTACCATGCTGACAATCGAGAGACCAACCGACATTGACCTCGAATCAATTCGAGGGCTCGAGCCAGGATCGGGCTCGAACCAAGATCATGAGTTCGAGCCGAAATCAAGCTCAAACTAAAATCGAGGGTTCTAAGTAGGATCGAGCTCACAGATAAAAGCCGTTGCAATCCCACTAGAGAAAATCTTGGCAGAAATTATGAAAAAACTGACTTATCATGGATCTCCTACTGAATGTTTATTTTATTATGCTTAGAGCCAAATCCCTCCACTATAAAAGGGCTTGGTTACTATTTCTGTAGGACAAGTTTTTTCAAGGCTTACATTGTAATAAAAGGGCTATATTTTTCTACAAAAAAGAACCTTTCTTTCAGATTTCTTAGATTGATTCTATTTGTTGAATCCTGAGATTCATTGTTCCTGATAACCTTATCTATTTTAGAATTCTCCCCAATCTATATTTACACTTTTTTATTTATCCTTGCATTTTGTGTTAAGTTACGCCACATATCCTCAGAGCTACGTATAAATTCAACTCTATCCATTTTTCGGGTAAATAGTTTGGCGCCCACCGTGGGACCGAGGATAATAGTGGTCATTTGATACAAATCTGAAAAAACACGCCATTGTGCTTTGCACTTATTTCCGAAAACATCTTGAATTTCGGATCAGCTATGAATAACCATCAATCAAATGGCTTCACCGATCGATTAAGAAGCCGGCCTTCAAGATGAAACCAACAACTTGGCACCCGGGGCCGAAAGGCCAATTAACGATAGCTTGGCACCCGAGGCTCGAATTGAAGTACCGGAAATTCGAGCCAGAATACCATTGGATGTCAATTCACAAATAGCTTTGGAGGCGAACCAGCGTTCCGAACCGGAAAGAAGCACTCAGGACGGTACTCGATCCGTAGCCCGAGACACCCAAAATGCGGGAGAAATCGGGGCCAGCTTACGAATGAAATCTAACGAGCAAGAATCGGGGACTACTCCCGGAATTACTAAATTGCTCGAGGAACTCAAAAAATGAGTCGAAGCCAATGACAAGAGGGTGGAAACGTACAATGCCAGAGTCGATCAAATCCCGGGGGCTCCACCAATGATAAAGGGGCTTGATTCAAAAAAAATCATACATAAGCCTTTTCTCGTCGAGTGCGGCACCGAAGCCAATCCCCAAAAAATTCCGTATGTCCGAAATTCTCAAATATAATGGTACGACCGATCCTAACGAACATGTCACCTCTTACACATGTGCTATAAAATGCAATGATTTGGAGGACGATGAGATCGAATCCGTGTTGTTGAAAAAGTTCGGGGAGACCCTCTCGAAGGGAGCGATGATCTGGTACCACAATTTACCGCCGAATTCCATCGATTCTTTTGCCATGTTAGCAGATTCGTTCGTAAAAGCACATGCTGGTACCATAAAGGTTGCAACAAGGAAATCAGACCTCTTCAAAGTAAAGCAAAGGCAGGATGAAATGCTAAGGGGATTCGTATCCCGATTTCAAATGGAACGCATGGAATTACCCCCGGTCACGGATGATTGGGCAGTACAAGCTTTCACCCAAGGGTTGAACGAGCTAAACTCGACAACATCACATCGGCTGAAACAAAATTTGATCGAGTATCCAGCGATAACTTGGGCAGACGTACACAACCGATATCAATCGAAAATTAGGGTCGAGGATGATCAGTTGGGAGCTCCGTACGGACCCGTTCATCAGAACAGGACAGTTACTAGAAACCAAAAAGGGAGCGACAGAGAACGAAGGTCGAACAGAGACCGATATCGATCATACGTCACGGATCGGGTGAATAACGGTTCAGCACGCAATGCAGTTCGTAAAAATTGAAGGATTGATCGAGGACAAAGTTCTCGGGGGCTTATGAGTAAGAGAGGCTTCGATAAATATGTCGATCCTATAAAAGCACATCGATTATCGGAATATAACTTCAGCGTTGGTGCATCCGCTCTCATGTCAGCCATCAGACACATCAAAGACACTAAATGGCCTCGACCCATGCAGACCGATCCTACCCGAAGAAATCCCAATCAAACGTGCGAATATCATGATACCCATGGCCACAGAACTGAAGATTGTAAGCAACTAAGGGAGGAAATAGCTCGCTTGTTTAACAAAGGGCACCTTCGAGAATTTCTAAGTGATAGGGCGAAGAACCATTTTAAAATCAGGGATTTCAGCAAGCAAAACGAGCAAGAAGAACCGCAGCACATCATCCACATGATCATCGGAAGCATCGATACCCCTCAGGGACCAGTACTTAAACGCACTAAAACATCGACGGTGAGGGAAAAATGATCTCGGACTCAAGATTATGCACCCTTGTGGACTTTGTCCTTTGACGATGAAGATGCAGAGGGGGTCATCCAACCTCATAACGACGCACTGGTGATATCTGTACTCATGAATAAAACTAAAATTAAGCGTGTATTAATCGATCCAGGTAGCTCGGCCAACATCATCCGATTGAAGGTAGTAGAGCAGCTCGGCCTATAGGATCAGATCGTACCCACAAATCTGGTCCTGAACGGGTTCAACATGGCATGTGAAACTACCAAGGGTGAGATAATCCTACTAATAAACGTGGCCGGGACCATCCAGGAAACAAAATTTCACGTGATCGAAGGCGATATGAGATATAACGCCCTTTTCGGAAGGCCATGGATCCACAACATGAGAGCTGTGCCTTCGACCCTACACCAGGCCCTCAAATTCCCGACATCGGGATGTGTCAAAACGGTGTACGGAGAACAGCCAGTCGCAAAGGAAATGTTCACCGTCGATGAAGCTAAACCAATGTCCTCACTTTCGCCGATAAAAGGATCGGGCCCGGAAGGAGAACGG